CAGTGAATTTGTTTTTGCAGAATTTTTGCGACCAAGTTCTGACCTTTTAAAATTGCTTTGGCCTGGGTTCATGTGATTTAAGATCACAGCCTTAAACATTCAGTCTTTTATTTGGTTTGAAAGTGTACATCCCATCAGCAGCATTCTTTCAGATTAAGAGGCTAAACTGTTGTTAAAGACGATGTATTCTGTGTTTTTAATCATGTTTTGAAATGAAGAAAGGAAGCGTAAATTCATTCATTCCATCAGGACAGACAGACATTACACGTATGCGAGTTTGCATAACTTTTCAGAGGCTTTGCAACTTCAAGGGAACTTTTTCTCTCCTCACGTTTACCTGAATGCGAGCTGTGCAACTCACAGAAGTTGAGTGCACAGCTCTAAGTTGATTCACAGAAAAGAAAGATTTATATCTAGATAATATTTGTCCAACATGACTGAGCGATGTAGGATCTTCCTCCATAAACCCTGTGATCTTAGGTCAGCATGTTGTTGTCTTCGTTGATGTGTTTGAAACTGGATGGTCAGATGTCTGAGCCGGTCTGAAATGTCTTTTTTAAAATGCTTAATACTGAACTTCTCTGCTCTTTAAAACTGTACCATCTGTAGAGACTCATTTTTTATTAAAAACTTTTGGAACTCACCTTTAAATCCTAGAAAAGATCACAAAGTTTCCAAAGGCACCACACATCTGTCACAAGAGTTGAATGCTGAATATTAATTTTTTGTTAAAACGTTTGATTATTATTATTATATTTGAGTTGAAATGCAAATACATTTTTTTTTTTTTTGGTGTAATATGGAAAAGCTTTCATGCCAATATAAACAAATGAAAGTAAGAAACTGAGATTTTAAAGGGCTGAAAAAAGAGGGCAGAGAATAATTCACTTCATCTCCTGAACATCCAGACAACAAACGTGTTTCTATTGACCACAGGAGCTGATTCTGCAGCTCTTAAAGTTCAAGAGAAAAAGTAGTTTTTTCAGCTCCTTCAGGGAACAGACAATGAACCTGTTTCTATTGTTGCTTCTTGCTTTTGTTGTTGTTGTAGTAAGCAGTGTGAGGGGAGTATTTTCTGTCATTACTCTGCAGCATGTTGTCATTATCTGCCTCCGGTCTGTCAGCTGCTGCAGTTAAAAGGTTTAGCACCTTTAAACTGAAGGTCATTAGAGACTCATGCAGACTTCAGACAGGAGGTTAAATACGTGCAGGTCAGAGGCGGAGAGAAGAGTCTTCTTTTTGCACAGCAGCAGATTTTCTCTGCATCGCTGTGGGGTCAGATGTTTCCAGTATGAAGTCTTGATGAATCCTCTGAAGTTTCAGGAGAGAACTAAAAGGATTCAGATTTTTCTAGATTTTCATTTTTTTTTTTTTAAATGATCAAATATTTGCATGCAATGCTCCTAAAATACAACAAAGATAACCTGCATCTGTAGATTTGTAATACTGATGATTGTAAAAACACAGCTGAATATATTGTGTTCAGTCTTGATATAGTTTTGTATTTGCAGAACAAAATATAAGCTTTTTGCACAGACATAAACCAACAACGAGTATTAAGAAGTCGAAGTAATTTATAATAAACTATAAGGGGTTTCTGGCCAAAGTTCACTATCTTCTTGGTGTCCCGAAGAAATAAAAAAGTCTCAAAAGTAAGTCGAAAAACGTTTGTATAAAAAAACAAAACAATAAACTTTTATTCCCAAAAATGTAACAACAAATCTCCTTTAACCTTTTTTTTAAAGATTATTTTTTGGGTTTTTAATGCTTTTATTGTAGAGATAGGACAGAGGATTGAGTTGGAAATCAAGGAGAGAGAGAGTAGGGAATGACATGCAGAAAAGGAACCACAGGTCGGATTCAAACCTGGGCCGCTTGGAGGACTGTAGTTTCTGTACATGGAGAGCGCACACTAACCACTTTGCTACCGGCGCTCTTACTTAAACTTTAATAACATAAGAAATACCATTACACTACCTCCCATGTTAACTCAGAAAGTATGCACACGCACTGACTTGATAACCTGCAGATTTGATATGTTGCAATGGATGCAGTATTGCATCATGGGTAAACTAGAAGTCTGAGTTGTGAAGCACCAAAAGCTTTTCAGTTTTATCACAAGTTTGGAATCAACAGAATCAGTCCGTCTCAGGATATTGATAACTCAGGTTGTTTGTGTAAATAACAGTGTGTTGTACAAATAGAAGAATAATGAACACATGGCCTGACATCTTCTGACTGATGGAGAACTTTTAAAGTCTGTTTGGTGTTTAATCCTGCAGACCAACTTTATGATTTCTCTGAGCAGCTAAAAGTCTTCTCTGGCACTTTGAACCTTCAAATGTTTGATGGACAAATTTGTCTTTCACTGCTTTTAAATCTAGGGGTGCATCAATTACTCGATTTTTTAACTTCAGTATAATTCTAGTAAACATTTCTAACAATATCAATACCTGTTTTAATACCATGGCAACAAACATAGAAGTCCTAGCATCCAATATTGGGTCATTTATTATTTTAATTATTAAAAATTGCAGGTAAACTCCTTTACAGTCTTAATTGCACAAATACGTTGTTCATGTTTATGTACTGAAACTGAAAAAGTTTGCATATGAATATATTTTTGAATCTGCGCTAACGTTGACTAAAAGGCGTGAGCGTGTCCCGTCGCTGCTTTCTGCACGCCATTATTGTCCCACCCCGCCACCTCGAAGCCAACAATAAACCGACTGTTTTGCGTGCGGCGTGACGGCGGCTCCTTTCAGACGAGAACTTGCAGAACGTGTGCATTGATTTGTTTTTATGTAAAATATATAAAGAAAGATTTACGTAAGATTTCAATAAACAGTCAGAAAAGTCGAGCAGATGTTGAATGTGGGTTTGAAAAGCGAGGGAACAAAGAGACGCGAAATGCCCGTTTTTTACCGAGCGCCTCGCTCAGATCGACCGCACGCTATCACGCCCGATAAACAAATTCAGCTTTTTAAACGTGCGACAAAGTCAGCGGTGAAATATCACATCTCTAAACCGCTGAAGGGAAATCACAGCAACCACAACAGAAAAAAAAAACAACACACCTGCAGCCGATGTTTCAGGTGATTATTAGCATTAATGTGGAACTTTGTGGTTCGCTAACTTCACGTTTTAAATCTCGACGTGATTAGATTATCAGACTTGATTCTGGGGAATAACTTCAACCATTAAATAAACTTATGATGTTAAAGGGTATAACCTATCCATCTGAATTAAAAGCACGTTTTCAAAGTAAAGATTATTTTATAGCAGAGGGTTAAGAAGCATCATGACTCGTTTTGTTCATCCAAAAGACAAATAAATCCAGTTTATTATGATTTAAAAACAGAGACAGATTTAAGGTATAATAGATGAACTATTAATGAAACAGATACTGGGACAGCTTCTGACTACAAGTTTGAGTTTTAACTCATCTGACTTCATGAACTTCATTAATAGCTCTACGTGGAGCCAGTAGAAAATGAAGACAACTCTTTAAAGTTCTGCCAAATCCAAAAAAGATGACACAGCACATGTAGTGCTAGTTAGTGTAAAGTTTAATCAAACATATGTTGTGTAGTTTATGATCTGTTTATTTCAGGTTTATTATTCATTTAGCATGTTTTTAACCTAATAGTGTGGGACATATTCCTCATGTTTTAACATCTATATTTTCATGAATTTCAGAACTTATTACCTGTTGAGACTGTCTTTAAAAAAAAAAAAAAGAAAAAAGGATGACATCACATTTTGATGATGCGGCAAAGAATCGCTGACTCAGTTTAGTCTGCGGTTTGATTCAAACACAGATAACACACACCACACATACAAATCAGTGAGGACCAGTTGTAGTTTGACTCACTGACTAGGATTTGGTTAATCTTTGGGCCTTTTTTTAAATTTAAATCAATCAATCAATCTTTATTTTTGTGTAGTGCCAATTCATAACAAATGTTCTCTGCAGACACTTTACATAATAGCAGGCCTAGACATCATTTTTTGTTAAACTAATTACAAAGACCCGACATGACTCCACCATGAACACAGCACTAACCAACATTTAGCAACCGAACAGTGGAATGAAAAAAACCTCCCCTTTTGACAGGCAGAACCAGAATCATCAGCCCTCTGCTGACGTTGTGTTTGATTTGAGACGGGATAGAGGGAGAGACAGGAAGAGATAAAGGCAATCAGTGTTTTGGTTTTTTTTTGGTTACAAGAGTTATACAACACCTGGAAATAGAAACGCCCCCATGCACAAATGAATCTGCTGTTTAATCAACGTTGCTGGCATCCAATTGGAGTCCAACTTGCACAGAGGTCATGAGTCTATCGGACAGATTGACAAAATCAGACTTTTTTTTACAAACCTGAATCAGGACTTAGTTATGTTTCAATAAAGCAGCTGCAGTTTCCATCAGTTATACACATCTGGAGTGAATGCAGCTGGTGAGACTCGTCTACACAGATACAGCTGAGTCGCTGAAAGATCTCCTGAAATCTTCTATTCCCCATAACCCCCGTGTCTTTAATGATATGAACACTTCACTTCCCCAATAAACACACATTAAGTATTGGTATATATGAATACATGTTTGCATTTTGTATAAATGTATGTTTGGCATGTATGATCTATATGTTATTCTCTGTTGAACTCTTTATATACAAGTATTTTATATTTCTGTTTCTTTTCAAATAGGTTTCTTTTTTCATTCCTCATTCGCACTGATATCTTGTTAATCTTGTAAAATATTGTAATTTAATCTGTTTTTTTCTTGGGGTTCAAAGTGCTGTAGTGTCTGGAAGTATGAGCAGCACAGTCATCACAGTGATTTGTTTTTTTCTGAATATAAAACTTCAAATATTTGTGTTGTGGGCTTCTCTTTTTGTTTCTCTGAGGTCAAAATGATTCAATTCTTTTAAAGTCAATATCACTTTAAGACTTTAAGTGTTCATTTAATCATGTTGTGTTACGTTTTTGTGTTCAGGTGACGACGGCAGTCCAGAGAACCTTCTTCTTCACGGCCCGTTCTCCAGGAAACCCAAACGCATCCGGACGGCGTTCTCCCCCTCGCAGCTGCTGCGTCTGGAGCGAGCCTTTGAGAAAAATCACTACGTGGTCGGAGCTGAGAGAAAGCAGCTCGCCAGCGGGCTGTGTCTGACCGAGACTCAGGTAGGCATTATGGCGGGGGGGAAAAAAAAAGAGGAGTGCATCATGGGAAACTGAGTGTGAGGAGGAAGGTGTGATGGAAGGAGAAGACAGGAGATCTGTTATTATCAGATAAAGAAAAATACAACAACAGCAAAATGAACACAGAAGAGAATCCAAGTGACTAGTGAACGTTTATTTTTTATTCTTAATGGGATTATTCCTCCAGAAAATATGAATGTATTAATGAATTTTTAAAGGATAAAAAAGTAATAATTACTACACCATAGTTTCTGATCAGAGTTCAGCCCATCATGTTTCTTCCTCCTCGGTGTATCCCAGGATAATCTCTAAACTGATCTGATGTCGTGCTGCGTTCAAGGTGCTGTTGATTTACAATTGGAGGATTGATGGAGGTGGGGCTGGGGGAGGGGGAGGATGAGGGGGGAGGGGGTGAGTCGTGTTGAGTCAGCTCCTCGACGCTCTTTTTCTCAATGTGATTGAAAGGGTTTGTCATCAGGTCGCCGCAGTGATACGAGCCTGACGGCCGGTGATACCACGTGAATCACCTGACTTGAATGTTTTCAGTTCATACTTTCTTTGTAATCAAGTTTTGAATCAGAGGGAAGCTGTTCCCACGGGGGGGAAGCGAAGACAAACATTAAAGCTCTCAGCCATGAGATCATACATTGCAAAACAATTTAGTGGGTTTTGAGGGCCACTGCCTCTCTTTTCCTGTTAGTATGCAGATGATGCAACACACTGTATAAGTCAAGGAGTTTTAAAACATGTTGGTGCATGTTGTTTTTTCTTCATTGTGTATTGTTCTGTTGTAGCCAATTGTGTGGAAAATAAATCAAAGTGGGGGTCATATCTTTGGCATTATCTGAAACCTGTGATTCACTGCAGATTACAGCATTTATGTGCACTGCGGTGTATATCACATATCTGTCAAACATTTAATTCTACAGGTGATGTCCATATTTAACAACTACCGGTACTTGAAGATTTGTATTATTTTAGCTTCACCTTTATGAAAGCATCCTGACCCCACATGGCTGCAATTTGAATGCGTTAAAGATTTAAACAGACGAATGAAAACCTAAAGCATACTTAAAAAGAGAATGAATAAAATCATGATTAAGCTCCTTTAATGACTCAGATGTTCACAGATCAATCATCTGTGTGTTCACAGTTCACTTTGGACCCAGTGTAAATATTTTAGTCCTTTTTCAAAGGATCGCAGTCTGGGAATTTAATTTAAGTACATTTACTGATGCATAGTTGTTGAGTATACATGTGTGGTGATGTGTGTAATAATTCATATCATGGTTTAATGTATAAATAAGAGAACATAAACAGTTTCTGAACTTTTCTTTGAAAGGTTTAGCATGTAAATCTGCAAAGAATATTGTTGAAAAGTCAATTATTACCAACTGTTTTTTAATTATCTTAATGGTTTACGTAGTTTCTCATGCAGAAAAAAAAAGTTCCAGCTGCATAAAAGTTGTAAATTTGTGTTTTTCTCTGTTATTGATGACGTTACATTAGAGTAAATATTTGGACTGTTGTCGGTTGGTTTGACAGAAAAATGAATTTAGAGATGTCACTTAGGACTAAAGGAAACTGAAGATTGAACTTCATCCTTTTCTTTCATTTTCTTCGCATTTTGTCAAAGAATGCAGTTACATGCCTCTCTGTGTGACTCCTCAGCGCGGAGGTGACAGATTTTTCTTCCATCATTGTCATAATTACACTCGGCTCCGTCACACATGAAGACCGTCTGATATTAAAGTGTCTCCCGAGGCCTTTGGCAGCTCTGAACACTTTTCAGCCTCAGCGTCGATCTGAGTCCTGATTTACGGTCCGTTCACTCTGACAGATTGAGCAACTTGATCTCTTAGTCATCTCTGTGTTTGAATCCTGCAGACAGGCGGACGTGTTTCGACGGTGCTGCATGTCACATTCATGTTTTACCAGCAAACGCACATTAAATCATTGTGCAGCTCTCACACATTTATGATTATTACTGTCAGGGGGAGAAGTACCTGCCTGACTCTCCAAAGATGTCCAAACAGAGGCACTAATAGTTCTAAATGATGTTTCAGAGCTGTCAAGAGAAAAGTAAAAGAGGAAATATGCTCTAAAGGATGAGATCATCTATGCCAATAAAAGTAGCATCAAATGTAATTTAATACATAGATAATAATTTCGGTATTTTTTTTAAAGAATATATATATTTCTATTATTTTATTTAATTTTTTTGTGATATTTTTGGGCCATTTTCTTCATTGGATAGGACAGAGAAAGAGAGAGACAGGAAATGGTGGGAGGAGTCAGTTTGTTGACTTTTGTGTTTTGTGTTAGTTCATATACTAAGTGGATAAATAAGTGAGTAGAACAACAACTCGTGTTCTGTAAGGTAGAATTCATTTTGTATTCAGTCTGGTGACTTAGGACAGAATTATTATCTTTATTATTATAATATACATATATTTTTTTATATTCTTTATCAATCCCCGAGGGGAAATTGGGGTTAACACTGTTTACACTCCGGTTCCCAACCCAAGTCCCTACAGACTGAGCTACTGCCGCCCCCAAATTTAATGACTGTTTCCTTTGAGAATCCCAAAATGAGAGTTGTCGGTCAACTGTTGCCTCGATCGGCTTGTTTTAATGTGTAATGATATGACTTTTGTGTTTTGTGTCAGTTAATTTAGATCCAAAACAATATTTGTGTAAAGAACACAAGTCAGAGAAATTAAGCAGATAAGGCAATATAGTAGACCAGCAACTCCTTTGTTCTGCAATGTAAAATTATTGTTTTTTTCAGTAGAGTCTGGGGGCAAAGAGATTTTTGGTCAAAGACTTATAATGAGTTGACTGTTCATCAACAGTGGACGCTCTGTTTCAAGGATTTTGTTGCAGCTATTTAAGCCTGTTTCACTGCAGGCTACTGAAAGAGCCTGTTTATCATTAAGAACCCAGAACATGATAAAAATAAGGCCCAGTTTAAAACTACCCCAAATCCTGCATATAAAGTACTTTTAATACATTTCACTGCTTTATGTGTGGCCTTGATTGTTATGAATGAAATGTACCTGCCATGCATTAAGACACACCTGTCTGTCTGTTGCAGGTGAAGGTGTGGTTCCAGAACCGCAGAACGAAGCACAAGCGTCAGAAGTTGGAGGAAGAGTCACCTGAAGCTCAGCAGAAGAGGAAGGGCAGCCAGCACGTGAACCGCTGGAGAGCCGCCACGCACCAGCCGGGAGGAGAGGACGTTGACGTCATCAGCGATGACTAGACTGCTGCACACACATAAACACAAACACACACACCACAAACAGACATAAACAGGCTCAGAAACACACACAAACAGACAGACACAAATGCTGGTGTCAAATCTCTTAATATTTTTTAAGATGAATTCAGACGCCTTAAAACTAACGATAGCTAATTCAGCTAGCGTAGCCAAAAGGCTTAGTGCTAAAAGGCCCTAACAAGGATGTCGATATCAATCAATTTTTAGCCACTCAGCAAATTTGGAAAAAAAAATAGTTTTTTTTTCCAAACTTTCCAACTTTTTTTGCCACGTTTGATTTTTCAGTGATACACAACTCTGTCCAAAACAAATAAAACAACCAAATGTTAACTCAATTTCAACCCTATAGGATAGGAGAATATATACGGAGAATAAAAAAAAACTAAAACTGAAAGACAAACAAAGAAGAGCTGAATCCAGAAACCATTGACAAGAACAGTAGATGTTACCTGCAGAACATGGGAGTCGCTGGTCTACCTCTGCTTAGATATATTTGTGTTCTTGTGAGACTATGGTGTCTTAAGTGGCTTGTTTGTTTGGCTTTGATACACCATATTTGTGTAACACACAAAAATACAGTTTTCAGCGTTAGACAAGCAACTCCCATTGTCTGCAGGGTAAAATGACTGCTAACAGACTCCATTAACAAAAAACAATAACTTAAACTTGGCCAACAATATTAGTTTCTGGTCTGTCTCATATAACTATGTGATTTTAACGTGTTAAAGGGGAAACTCTGACCCAAAAATAACACTTAAACCAATTGACTGATTGAGGCAGCAGTAGCTATAGTGAGGGTAAAATCTCTGTTTTTGTCAATGGAGTCTGGTGTCTTTAAAGAGAATGATGTAAGAGTTGTTTCTTGAAAAAAAAAACATTTTCTCTTAAACAAAAAGCTCTATCTCTGTGGGGATCCTTTCTGTAATGTTGTCGAACACTTAGAATAAGATTCTGAGACTGTCAGCGACAAAGTGAACAACTTTTAGAGGGCACACTGTGATCCATTGAGGACTATATGTTGCAGAAATTGCAGCCGGATTCATTGCTGCAGGTGGAATCTACTGGAGAAAATATTTTGCAACTTGAAGTCATTACATCCAACGTTCCTACACTTATTTATAGAATACACACATTACACACACATTACACACATAACACATGGATGTTGCCTTTTCCAAGGACTGATGGATGTCACTGAAGGCATCGCACTCTGCAAGCTGCAGGAGGTCAAAACTCTCATGCAGAGATTAAAAGACAAAAACTCTGATCAGCCACAAAGGAGGTGATTTAAAACAATAGAGAACCTTGAACTTTGGTGTTGGACTGCAACGAGAGTTGATGCTTCAGAGAGGCAAAAAAAACAAAAAAACAAAAACAAAACAGGAGTCCAAACACTGTCACAGCTGTTGACTGAACACTCGACGGTGGATTTTGGTGCCAAACGAAAGCCAGCGTCTTAAAATAGGAGACGGTTAAAGTGAGAATCTGCTCGGCTGAAGGTTTCTGAGCGTCTGTCTGCAACAGACGGCCGCCGGCTCGCAGGGAAATCTGCTCCACATGTCTGACAGAGGAAAATAAGGTTCCTGCTGCAGAAGAAGAAGAAGAAACAGAGGGTAATTTAAGGTGGAAACACTTCTCATTTACATTTCCTGAAAGTTTTCTATAAAACCGTTCAGTAAGAGCAGCTGCTTCTCAAAGACAATGCAGGAAGCTGATTGAGTTTTAACAAGTGAAAATCTTCATTTTTCTGTTGGAGGAACCTTTACTCTTCTGTGGGATGTTTGCAGGAAGAAACACTCAGTGAAAAATACCTCTTATAACTCCTGTTGGAGGATTATTTTCTCATTATATTCTGACTCAATCTTTAAATCCTTCCTGACTTTTCTGTCTCTGGCTCTAAGCCCATTGGTTCCTACTGAGGATCTTTAAAAACATATTTTAAATACCTCTAAATAAATCCCCCTGCAGGTGTGTAATTGTTGTTTTTCACTGAGGAGGTTTAGCAGAGTGTGTGTGTTTGCTCAGCGGCACTGCAGCAGCATCAGAAACCAGCTGATCTCAGAGCAGTTTGGACTTTTATTCAGCTGGTAGTTTTTTTTTTTGTCTTTTGGAAACAGAAAAGTAGGTATTTATGTAAAAAAGGATTTGAAAAGTATTCTATGCACCTGCTGTGTAAATAATGCTGATAATAATAATAATGTGTGGATTGTTTGTTTGTTTGTTTGTTTCTCTCACTGCATTTGTTCATCTGTTTGTTTCTTCTTCTTCTTCTTCCGGACAGATTTACCTCATCCTCTCCTTATGTAGCACTTCTTCTTCTTCTTAGTCAGATCTATTTTTTCATTGTTTTAGGATCGAATGCACTAACTGTACGACTCGTTTCCTCTGACAAGAAGCTTTGTACTTCCTGTGTTCAGATTTGGAAAAAATATCAATAAAAAAGAAATGTGAAATAAAAAAAGTGTCTGCTGCTGCACCTGAGGGTTTTGTTCTCTGAATATCTAATGATAGAAAAGTTTAATGTGATTCTTGGAAGAAAAAACGGACTTGACCTTGGAGGAGAAAGCAAAAAATAAAAAGTGAAACGTGTTTTTTTTTCCTTAAACAAAAACTTTTTTTTTTTTTATCGTTCAGCAAATTAGAGCTTTATGTTCCAATTAAAATTATATGATCTAAATCCATCAGATATGTTGTTGAAGGGGAATTTAAAATGAAATGGTTTTCTCCTATTTACAGTTGATTAGATATTTTTTTTGTAGTTGTTCTTGCAATTATTATTACAGTTATTATTATTATTATTATCATTATGTAGGTTTGTCATTTATGAGGCCAGTGGTTGTCTAGAAGAATATTTTCTGACGAAATCTTTAAGTTTTTCAGCACTAACGGCCTGCAGACACATACAATTAAAGGAAATAAACAGCGTCGTACATACATATTACATATTCATATAGCAAATACAAATCAATTAATTCAATTAAAAACGCTGTTGTCGATCTGAAGAGATTTTAATGTCTTGATTCGGTTCCTCGTTTAACTAAAGCAGGACGTTTGGTTACACACAGAATAAATAAATAATAATTTATCTCGAACAGAAACAGAACCTGTGTTTAAGTCACTGACCGTTTAAATAAAATAAAAACACGACACAGAGAGGCCGCCTGACCTTAAAAATCCTCCGCAGGTCGGAGCTCATCCTCGGCTGCTGCAGCGGCTCGGTCCCCGGTGTCCCCCGCTCCTCCTGCGGCCTCCGCCTGCAGCTCCGTCCCGCTCTCTCTCTCTCTCTCTCTGCAGCACCTGAACATGTAGAGAAGGCTGTACATTTCATTAACCGAGACAAATGACAGTTTATATTAATCGGCTAGTTTTCCTTTTGTTAATGTGTTATTTTGTCGTGCGGAGTGCAGGCACCGGCGGACAGAAGTGACATAGATACAAAAAAAAAAAGAGACCTGAAGTTATGGCGTTTTATCCCGTGACAGGCCTCTTTCTATAAGAGGCTACTCATTTTTATCTCACATAAATATTCAGAAGTTATCACTCCTGCGTTACGCTGAACGACATCATGACAACACGTTTTTGACGGATGTTTTCTTATTTGCGTAAAATGATAAATAAATACAAACATGAATAAATAACGGATGAGTCTGTGTCAGATACGATGAAATAACTGACTCGCGTTTTTTTATAGCCTAAAAAGAGTCTGCAAAGGATAAGGATAGTAATACTAAAACCTCAAATTGACTTTTTGGGAGTTTTTTTTTATTGAACTGTTAACTGGTGGCTGTTTCCTCTGCAGAATTCGTCCTTTATGTTTTTCTGCAGTTTCACATTGTGACAACAGACGGGAAGGCGAAATGCTGCTTGTTCAGAATCAGAAATCTGAATCAGAAATACTTTATTAATCCCAGGGGTATTTCTGATTCTGAACAAGCAGTGCATCAACTAGCTCCCTGCACATGGGTTCAATTCATTTATCATTTTAAAAAGCATCGAGCAGCACCTTGTGAGTGCCCATTTCTAATCAATATACAGTGTAATGTATTATAACAAGAAAGAAAGGTTATTCGAAAACAACAACAACACACAATTGCTAAGAAAATAAGTTTTGTACATTTGAAGTGTTGCAGAAGAAGGGTAACTTGATGGATGGACAGTAGATAAAAAAGCAGGTAAGACATTAACACATGAAGATCGATGGATCCAGGTGGATAAGAGTAAAGCTGTCAACATAACACCTAAGTCCAATCCTCATGCACACCAGGAAGATGAAAACATTAATAATTAAACATTAAAACAGAAATTATACAAAGAGGAGGAAATTACACATATAGAGATGAAGAGGAGTCGAAAAAATAAGGGATGCAGCAGAAGGAGATCCTAAACATGTCGAAACAAAAGTCAATGTGAAATATATAAAAAATACAGGTTTCTTTCACTGTCTTTCCTTTTTCAGCAGCTTTAAACATATTGCATCATTTAGAATCATCATGTTCGCTAATGTTCTCTCTTTTGGGTCACAAATAATGTACTAATCTTCACAGAAAAATATGAATTAGTCAGTTTTGTGCAAACTACTTTCCTTTTTTTTGTAAAACAAAACAAACAAACAAAAACTACTCTGATATCTGAAACTATGATTTGTTAATCTTTAAAAAATATCTTCTCTTCATGATTTTGTAATATTGATCTAGTTTTGATCATTTTATCTTCTTGAGAGCACTTAGCAGGTATAAAATGAGGTAAATTCAGCACAAAAATGACCATTTGCTTTAATCAACACCTCTCTAAATATGTGATGTGTTAATAAATGAGGTAACAAAGGTTTACTGAGAGACAGGACATTGTTAATTATTATGGGTGTTAATTGTCGTGTTGTGCATTATCAAGGTCTTCAAAGTGCATCGAACACACAAAGAGAAAAACAACCGAGGACAATAGAACTGTTAGAAATGCTTGAGGGTATAATAAAAATACTGCTCTCTGAATTGACAGAATATTAGGATGGTATGAAGCAGGAACATTAAAGAGATTTAATCCAGTCATTAATCAGTTTATACATAAAAGAACGTGACAGCGGTATTGTGCTAACGTTAAAGCACGGAGTAGAAAAGCAGGTGAGAAACACAATGAACTGTAAAGTGAGTCCTGGCTGTGAAAATGATGGAGACATCACAGTGCAGCGTTCCTCCCCCCCCTCTACCTGCCTGTATGTGTCTGTATGTTGGTGCTGTTGCGATGGAAACGTTTCAATATTCACAATGAGAGAGCTGAAATGAAATAACAGATGGTGGGAGGCGTGTAGGTGCACGACTGACAGAAACAAATTATCACTTCTCTTTATCTGCTCAGAGTTTTAAATCACAGACAGACTGACAGGTGAGTCCAGGTGAATCACAGCGGATACTGATGGTTATTAAATCATCTGATAATTATTCTTTACTTCTATATCCTGTAATTTCATCTGGAGAAGAATTGACAATGAATCCAGCTGAAAGGAAGACTGGTGTTAACAGAGACGTATAACAAGGCTCCATTCTTGTCTTCAACAGTTTAAACAAAATGAATAAAGATGCACTCACATACAGAGGCAGTATTTTATTTTGAAAAAAGGCTTAACCCTCGGAGGTCAAACAAACATTCAAGCTTTACTAAGCTAGTTAGCTGCTACAAGTCAGGTTTGATCAGCCGTTAAGAAAACACATGTCAATTTTCCACCTCAAAATAGTAGTTTTAAATGTCAACTGATTAGCAGCATAACTTTGAAAAGGATATCTCTCCCATGTGGACCGATCGCCTGTCTACTGAGCTATGTAACCTTAGCAGCGATGGTGCACATGGCTTAACGGCACCAGTTCACACAGCAGCCATCAGCCTCAAAGCAGCCAGTTAGCTCGTCTCTGTACTGTTTGATACAACTAAGAGACAGAAGAGGACGGTGATGGATGAAGCATGTCATTCCCTGCTCTCTCTCCCTGGTTTCCGACTCTATCCACTGTCCTCTCTCTGCATTAAAAGGCAAGAAAAGCCCAAAATAAATCTTTAAAAAAAAAAAAAAAAGACAGTGGATAGAGTCAGAAATCAGGGAATGAGAGTGGGAAGGGAGCCACAGGTCGGATTCAAGGCCTGGGCCGCCTGCTTGAAGGTCTATGGCCTCCGTGCTTTGGTCGTGCCCACTAATTGTTGGGCTACCAGCCCCCCTCCTCATCCATCTTCAAGTTAACTTCATAACTTTATAAACCTATCTCAACTTACATAAAAAAATTACCTCTCAAAAGTAGCTGTTTAACCACAGCCTATGGACATCATGGTAACAGTTAAATACACAAACACGTACTCCACATGCATACGATGGTCTAAAGACCCGAGCAGAGTCATATTTGTCCAAAATCCGGTTACATTACTGAGCAATGTCAGACAACATGGTTGCTAAGGTTCTCACAACGTCTTTGCTGACTTCGCACCATCTGCTGTAAACAAATGCATGTTATCTATAGGAAGGCCACACAGCACTATGTGTGAGTTACGACAGTGCAGTTGCACTCAGAGAACTACATTCCTACATATATTGTTTTTTAATGAGAACCAGCAGTTTCCCATCTTTATTTGCAATTTAACGGCTATACTAACTAGGTTAAAAACTTACTTAATCAGCCTGAAGTAACATGAAGTCTGCTAGTTAGCAGCTAAAAGCTTGGCTACAATTTGATGAATCAGCTCAAAGAAACGAGAGGTACTAAAGTTGGAAAGTGCTGATTAGGGTAAATCTAACAGGATCAGCCTCAACATCCCAGATTTCACCCAACTAGTTTAGCCATTTAGCAGCCGCAATCCAAGCTAAAGCTTCATTAATCAGCTTTAGGAAATCAGTGGTCACAAAAATCGTAGCAAGTGAGCAGCTTTAAACAAGGCTACATCCAATTGAGCAGGCATGAAGAAAACCAAAGGTCTTCCAACAGTTATGTGCCAAGCCAAAACTAATATGATCGGCCAAAGGATGAGCAGAGTCTCCTTGCTGTGTTACCTAATTAGCAGCTCTGAATCTGACCTAAGTGAAATG